ACGTTTGGCTCCGGTTTCAGCTAATTTCTTTACACTGATTTGAAGGAAGGCTCGCAGGTCACAATCCTTCCCAGAATGACCTCCCTTCGCTTGGATCCATCTGTAACAGCGCGTCTGGCTCGAAAACAAGGAGGGGGTTAATTTAATTTTAATTGTCCTTAAATCGCAAGACACGGCTTTAACAGGAAATATTAAAGTAACGTAAAGTTATCTGGGAGGAGAACCCAAGCTTTCTGCATTTTGAGGCATTCGTATACCGGCTTGTAAAGAATTATCACAAGCTTATAAATAGCCATAGCACTTAGACTTATGTACCACTTTACAATGCTTTCCAGCCCTCCCTAAGCAGTTTACAGAATCAGCCTATTGTCCCCCACCAACAATCGGAGTCCTCATTTTACCGACTTCGGAAAGATGGAAAACTGAGTCAACCTTGAAGCCAGTCAGGATCGAACTGCCAAACTGCTGGCAGCCGGCAGTCAGCAGAGTTAGCTGCAGTGCTGCTTTGTAACCACTGTGCCACCGCAGCTCATAATAACTCATTCCTGTCATTAAAGGCAGATTCTGTACAGATAGTTCCATCTTATACCAAGCTTTACCTGCAAAGGTAGTAGGATTTAAAAATAAAAAAAATGCTGAGTCATTTAGCAAAAAAAGAGGGTGAAGTTTGGGTACAAAGTACCCAGTGGCGAGTTCTATGAGAGAAGTTCTTCAACTAAGAAGAACTGCTCCAATCTCTTCAAGAGCCAAAAAAAAGGACACTCTTTTGGGGGTGCCTGGTGCCTTCACCCCAAGTTGTGCCAAAATGCATCCATCCAGATACACGGGAGAAGGCAAGACACTTGAAAAGCACTTAATACACTTGGAAAGCACTTAGGCTTATATACAACTCCATCGTGTTTTACGGCACTCTCTTAAGCAAGGGTCTTCAAATTTGGCAAGTTTAAGACTTGTGGACTTCAACTCCCAGAATTCCTGAGCTAACATGACCAGAGGAGGAGTTCTGGGAGTTGAAGTCCACAAGTCTTAAAGCTGTCAAGTTTGAAGACTCCTGGTTTACAGAGTCAGCCTATTGCCCCCCCAACCATCTGAGTCCTCATTTTACTGACCTCGGAAGGATGGAAGGCTGAGTCAACCTGGAGCTGGTCAGAATCGAAGTCCTGGCTGTGAGTGAATTAGCCTGCAATGCTGCATTCTAACGACTGAACCACCACAGCTCCTAGCAATAGCCCTTAGACATACATGTCATTTCACAGTGCTTTACAGCCCTCTCTAAGTGGTTTACAGAGTCAGCCTCTTGCCCCCAACAATCAGGGTCCTCATTTTACCCACCTCGGAAGGAGGGAAGGCTGAGTCAGCCTTCAGCCGGTCAGGATTGAACTCCAGGCTGTGGACAGAGTTAGCCTGCAATACTGCATTCTAACCACTGCGCCACTACGGCTCCTGAAAAGCAAAGCTATTGAGGTCATAGCTTGCTTATCTGGCAATGATTCCTTTGTCATAAATGAATTGAGGAAAGCTCTCCAAGCTAAAGAAAGATATGGATGCTAGTTGAGCCAAGGGGGGACTTTTGCAAAGACCAATAAGCTCTTGCCTGACAAACAATCTCTTCAGGAAGTATTTGGGACAAACTGATCCAAAAGAAAAGTTGCAGGAATTGGGTATGTCTAGTTTGATGAAAAGAAGGACCAAAGGTGAGATGATAGCTCTGTTCCAATATCTAAGGGGCAGCCACAAAGAAGAAGGGGTCAACCTCAGTGGTGGTATTCTACCGGTTCTCCCCGGTTCGCCTCGGTTTGGCCGAACTGGTAGCTCTGAGGATCATCTGTGAGCAAACTGGTTTGCTCTGACGATCAGCTGCTGGTCCCCATCCGGGCTCTATTCTGACCATTATTTCCTGGTTTTCAAGCTGCTTTGTGTGGCACAGCGGATTGCTGCATGTCGGCTGCCTAACACACAGGGAGAGGGCAGGATTGTAGGAGAAGGTTAGTAGCAAACCCTCTGCGTGCGTGCAAAGCACACGCTCACCGGACCAGTTGTTACACTGGTTGAATCACACCCCTGAGCCACGCCCACAGAACCGGTAGTAAACATTTTTGAATCCCACCACTGGTCAACCTGCTCTCCAAAGCACTTGAAGGAAGAACAAGAAGTGAAAATTCATTAAGGAGAGATCCAACCCAGAACGAAGGAGAAATTTCCTGACGGTGAGAATAACTAATCCATGGAACAATTTGCCTCCAGAAGGGTGCTCTAACACTGGAGGTTTTTAAGAAAAGATTGGACAATCATTTGTCCAGAATGGTATAGACTCTCCTGCTTGAGCAGGGGGAGGGGTGGACTAGAAGATCTCAAGCGTCCCTTCCAACTCTGTTATTCTGAGAATAATTCTGATAAAGGATCTCCATGGTGGCAGAGCACCGTTAAGTCCCCCAGTCTGGGATTTTCATATCCCCAAACCTTCAGGACACATTTTAATGGACCTATTTTTATTTTGGTTTTTCCTTTTATTCCACCATGTCTGATTCTGAGAGATTGCCTGGATAAGATCCTGCAGTTTCCTTGGCTCCTTCCTAAAGCTGACAGACTGACCCAAGGTCACTCAGCTGGCTTTGCACCCAAGGCCAGACTAGATCTCCCAGTCACCCGGTTGCTAGCCTGATGTCTTAACCACTATACCAAACTGGCTCTTCCTTCTATGTTAATTAGAAAGCAAACTCTGGCACAGAATCCAAAGGGATGTTCTAACAGGAATATCAATTCCACAGTGGAAACAGTTTTCAATTACTAGCTCAATACCCATGCTTTGCTACGAAACTATGTGGTCAGGTTAGTTTTTTGGGGGAAGGAAAATAAGGAGAAAAAAATTCTGCCTCTGCCTACTAGCATCCATCGGTATTCATCTGGCTAGCATCCTGTCAGTGTGTGATAGAATTGAGGGCTGTTTGGAAACTGAAAGGGTATTTGCTGTGTGAGCAAGAAAGAGACTGCAAAGAGGCTGGGCATGGCTTAGCTCAACCGTTCTCTACTAAAGCTGCTTAGTGCTGTGAAACTAAAACTGAAACTGAAACTTCTCCTCTGCTTATGTTTTGCATTTGGAACAGATTTCTTTTCAGGTGGGGAGGGGGAGTAGAACTCCTTAGCATCAGAGCATGTTAATAATAATATACAAAATATTAATGCTCTGATGGTCATTTCAAAAAATCCTTTCTTAGTGAGCACCTAGAAGCCAAGAGGAACATACGTGACGAATTTCAAGTTTGTAGGCTTTGCAGTTCTGGAGATTTTGTGATGATGCTTGAGTGGAATTTCACTTTTATATATATATAGATTAAGGGAAGGCAGAGATTACCGAAACCTTCAAGGTTTCAGTGAATGTCCTCTTCAAAGCTAAGCCACAAAGCAAAACAGCACCCCGCGTCTCTTTGTCAGAGCACAACAGTCCCTTTGTGTGACTCAGAAGCAAGCGGCTTTTGTGCGCGTACAAAACCATTCACTGCTGTTAACAAAGCTGAGAAACCGATGAAGGCACACCGATGCTCCTCTACGAGGCAGCGTTGCATTGGGGTGGACAACAGACAACCAGTGAATCCTGGTTACCAAAGGAGGCAAAATACCTTCCCTTCCCCATGTCTGTTAAAACACAGGTGGGTAACTGTCCCTCTGTGATGCTTTGATTCATACAGCGGGGAGAGGGCTGGATTCTAATGCTAATATTATACTTTCATGCTCTACAGAAACTATTAGCCCTTTGAGGGAGTCCGGACAAGCAACCCAACAATAAATCCAATTGCAAAAATAGGTAATAGTAAAGATCTCCCTGTCCTATAGTGTCCAATTCTAGGGCACAGTGCTTATTATCTCCATTTCTTGGCCAAGGGAACGACCAGTGCCTGAAGACATTTTACAATTCTGTGTCTTTTACAATTGTAATATTGATTGCAAGAATAGACTATAATAAATTTAGATTGAAGGGTGTAAGGTTACATTAATCTTGCAAGACTGAAAGTATTTCTCTCCTTCCTGCCTGCCTTCCTCCCTCCCTTCCTGTCCTCCGTCTCTCTCTCCTCTCCATCTCCTCTCCTCTCCTCTCCATCTCCTCTCCACTCTATCTCCTCTCCACTCTATCTCCTCTCCTCTCCACTCCTCTCCTCTCCATTTTCTCTCCTTTCCACTCCTCTCCATCTCCTCTCCTCTCCACTCCACTCCTCTCCTCTCCATTCCTCTCCTCTCGTCTCCACTCGTCTCCGTTTCCTCTCCTCTCCATCTCCTCTCCACTCCTCTCTCCTCCATTTCCTCTCCTCTCCATCTCCACTCCTCTTTTGCTCTTGACAACTGCCTGGACCAGTTCCTGCCTGGACCTGTCCCCACAGTTTCAGAGGTAGGTTGCTATTGCCTCCTTCCTAAGGCTAAAAGAGAATGACTGCCTCAAGTTTACCCCATTGGTTTCATGCCTAAACCAGGACTAGAACTCACAGTCTCCCAATTTCTAATCTGGCACCTTAATTATTCTCCTCTTCTTTGACTCTCTGGTGAACTAGGGAGGGTATTTTCTGAAGCGCTCTACACACCCTGCTCTCCTTCCGTGAACTGAGAACATGTCAATTGACCAGTGAGCAATTCCTCCTGTCTCCTGAGTTCATCCCCACATATCTTTACAGAAGTAACAACCCTCCCTTCCTACTTCTGAAATTTTGGGGAAGCTTCCAGAATAAACTGTTAAATGGAGCATTTTATCTGGGCCTGTTTTAAGGCTGCAAACGATTGGAACACTTCTTGAATCTCTAGTTAGTTGCTGTATCTAACCTACTGGTCAAAATTATATAAGCCTGAGATGGCTATTTCAAGTCGAAGGAAAATATCTTGTTATTCCTACAAACATTTCCAGAGTTTGCATAACTGAACGTCATCGTGATTAGACGATGCCGTAGCAGTGTATATTTCCCACTGAAACATTTCAACGTAGATATTGGAAACGCATGTTTGAAAGATATACTTACACTTGCATGCAGTTTTCCTTTTTTCGACATGGCTAAAAATTTGTTGCTGAAAACTCCACGTATTCCTACTATCCCCTGAGACACGGCGAATATTTCCACCATACCTACAAAGGACAGAAATCCCCAAAATAAAATTCATTTTTCATAGCACCGTAAAACAGACAAACAAAAAGAAGAGAGAAAACTGAAAGGCCTTGTCATTTTGCACTATCTGAGAAGAGGGGAAGAAAAAAAAAAAGCAGAAAAAAGTCCCTATCATTTTTTAGGCTTATAATCAGTGATTTCATGGCTGGTTGCTTCTTTGCTTGATGCTCAGTTTATCTGAATATGCATTTATTTATAGATGTCCTGAGGTTTTAAAGGACAAAACTGATGCAAAAGGAAGGGGGGAGTTTAACCACGACTTCTATTAGTAGTAACTAATTGCCTTCTGTGTGAAAAGCACCAATGGAGATGTCATGGAAGGAGACAGAAAGACCCTGGCATCTTCTAAAACATTCATTGAAGTTTCCTCATCAGTCAAACTGGAATCCTGCACTCATCTCTAGACAGGTTTGACTGGATTTAAGACTGAGATGATTCAAATGGTTCCAGGTAGTCCTCAACTTACGATCACAGTCGTAAGCCACAGAATTTCCGTGGCTAAGCAAAGTCGCGGTTAAGTGTGTAACACTGGATTTTACAAGCTTTTTTGTACAGTAAGAGTTGTTAAAACAAACCACCATCATTGCAAAGTGAATCCTGCAGTTGTTCAGTAAACCTGGCTTCTCCCATTGACACAGTTGTTAAGTGAATCACTGCAGTTGATAAGTTAATTGACAGGGTTGCTAGGTGGATCTGGCTTCCCTATTGCCATTTTCCTTGTCAGGAGGTTGCAAAATATGATTACGTGCCCCCAGAAGGCTGCAGCAGTTGTAAATACATGGCAGTTACCACAGGGGTCCCCAACCACCGGTCCGCGGACCGGTACCGGTCCGTGGAACAAGTCCTACCGGGCCGCTGGCTTGCTGGGTGCCGCCATCTTGTTTTGATGAAAAAGTGCTTCCGGTGAGCTTTTCCGGGTAGAAAGCTCACCGGAAGCACTTTTTCATCAAAACAAGATGGCGGTGCCCAGCTGATGTCGGTACCGGGCCACGCCATAAAAAAGGTTGGGGATACCGGGCCGCGGCGTAAAAAAGGTTGGGGATCACTGAGTTATCAGGTGCCCAAATTTTGATCACCTGGCCATGCATTTTGTGTGAGGATTGCTTGCAAGTCACCTTTTTCAGTGCAGTTATGACTTTGTTGCTCAATGAATGTTGTAAGTTGAAGGCTACCTGCAGAGGTTAAAAGAATCTCTAACATAGTACTGATTTTTACAATGTGTTCAATGGCCAATCCTTCCTTTTAATTCCACGAGAATGGCTGTCCGAATAAACCGTTTACTGGAGCATTTCATCTGGGCTTTTTTTAGGCTGCAAACAAACATCATGCATGTTACATACTTTTGCATACATGCAAACTTCATGCATACTGGTCGCAGGTACTCATAAAGCCCCCATAGGTGACGTAGGAGAACAGCAGGTGGAGTTAAGCATGTCATCAGCTTAGAGTCATTACGTTGCCACAAATGGTCCAAGCTCAATTGCTCTTGAATCCCATTGAACCTTATCTAGTGTCAAATTAGTTTTGAGTTTTAATTGTATATAAGCTTAAATAAACCTTGCTCCAAGGTTTATGCTGCAATTTTTACGGAGGGTCATGATTCTCTGTGAGCGACAGATACATTCTGAAATTGCACAGGGCGGAGGCATGCATTCAATCTAAAACTGGAAAAACTCCAACCCTCTGCGCATTTTAAAGCTACCTGCATGGAGAAGTACAATGTATTGGACTGCCTGGCTTTGTGTAATTCCGAAAAGCCCTGCACCAAACATTGATCGGTGCTATTACATTATTCTGTTACAATGAGTTGACGTTTCCACAACATGCCTTGCAATGCTCCACTTGCAAGTTCTACTTGCACCCTTTGAATAGGACATTCAGGCTGTTGAGACGGTCAACCACCACAACACCAAAAAAGCTAGAAAGAAACATATTGCCACCAGGCTATGGAGGATACCAACCTGACCAAAGAGGTAAAAGACAAGAAAGGGCCCAAAATTAGGTTCTCTGCCCCAAACTAGGTCATCCACTGATTCCCAAGTAGAGAAGCAATCAACATGGATGATGAATTGATATTCTGTTGCGTCTGTGAGACTTGATCTTTGCTTGCTGACTGCTCAATGGTAATCAACCAGTGGTGGGATTCAAATTTTTTTACTACTAGTTCTGTGGGTGAGGCTTAGTGGGTGTGGCTTGGTGGGCATGGCAGGGGAAGGATATTGCAAAATCCCCATTCCCTCCCCATCAGAGGTGGTGTTCAGCCAGTTCTGACAGGTTCTGGAGAACCAGTAGTGGAACTTTTGAGCGGTTTGGAGAACTGGCAAATCCCACCTCTGACTGGCCCCACCCCCATCTATTCTCTGCCTCCCAAATCCCAGCTGATCGGCTGGGTCTTCTTTTGTTGCCCTGCACAGGAGAACAGAGCTGGAAAGCAGGTTAGTGGGGTGGGGAGGGAATGGGGACTTTAAAGTACCCTTCCCCTGCTAACCCAACCAAGCCATGGCCACAGAACTGGTAGTAAAAAAAATTGAATCCAACTGCTGCTCCCCACCCCACTAACCTGCTTTCCAGCTCCGTTCTCCTGTGCAGGGCAACCAAAGAAGACGCAGCCAATCAGCTGGGATTTGGGAGGCAGAGAATAGATGGGGTTGGCAGGGCCAGTCAGAGGTGGTATTTGCCAGTTCTCCTCAAAACTACTCAAAATTTCCACTACCGGTTCTCCAGAACTGGTCAGAACCTGCTGAATAGCACTTCTGCAGTCAACCCTACCTACCAACTGCATCAATGATCATACCTGCTCTTAAGGACAGACCTAAAGAAAAATTATTGTTGATATTCCTTCACATAATTAAGTGACAGCAGTGTCCCAATAATTAAAGAGCTGCCACAAAGAAGAGGGGGTCGCCTTCTCCAAAGCACCTGAAGGCAGGACAAGAAGCAATGGATGGAAAGTAACCGAGGAGAAAAACAACCTACAACTAGGGATAAATTTCCTGACAGTTAAGAACAATTAATAAGTGGAACAACCTGCGTCCAGAAGTTGTGGGTGCTCCAACATTGGAGGTTTTAAAGAAGAGATTGGACAGCCATTTGTCTGAAATGGTATATAGTTTCTTGCTTGAGCAGGGGCTTGGTCTAGAAGACCTCCAAGGTCTCTTCCAACTCTGTTATTCTGTTATTCTATTAATCCATGGAATACTCATATTATTTGGGCTGACAGTAATGGGATCCTTCTGCCGCCTAGAATCAGGTAGACAATCATCTGCTAGTTTGAGGCAGCTGTAGCATTGAGTGTTAGAAGTTCTGTTTAGATATAGCAACAGAGACCAAACAAGGAGTACAGTCACCATGTGCTTTACTGCTCAACTATTTTAATTGTAACAGGAAACCGGGAACCTAAGCAGAGCATAGAATATATACCATAGATTCAAACTTGCAAACACTGCCATCTACTGGCTGAATGCTAATGCAGTTGTTGCATAAAAATACATTCCAACAATGAATTCCAACATTTAGCTTGCATTCATCACTTGTTACTCAGCTCCACAGCCTATGAAGAGAAGAGTTAGGAGGCCTAACTGGATCCCTGTGAAGCCCATAGAAGTGTCTATAATAGAGGGAGGATCCTATGTCCAGTCCAGTAACATGGCTATTAGCACAGTCGGCCTATAATTGAGACAATTGTATACCATTAATACCCCTTTCTTGATAATCTCATGCAGATCTTCCTCAATAAAACCAGTCCTTGATTTACAACCATGAAGAATTTCCATTTGCTAAGCGAGACCATTAAGTGAGTCATGCCCAACTTTATTAAAAAAAAATTTTTTTGCACAGTTGTTGAATGAATCACATAGTTCTTAAGTGAATCTGGCTTGCCCCATTGACTTTCTTGCCATAAGCTGTCTGGGAAGGTAACAAATGATGATTACGAGACCCCAGGAACCTACAGCCGTCATAAATACATACCGTTTGCCATGTTCCTGAATTTTGATCACATGACCATGGCGATACTGCTGTGGTTGTAAATGTACGTGTGAGAATGTGTCATAATTTTTATTTTAGTGCCATTGTCACTTTGAACGAATGGTCATTACTCCAGGACTATCTGTAGGGCACCTTCCTAAATAGCTGGAGTACAACTCTCACCTTCCAGAGGCAGCAAATAATCAGAACTGTGAGCAACGGAAGTCATAGTTACATCAGATTTCGTGGATAGGTTTGGCCTGGGTTTCTCAACACTGACCTCATTAAGATAACAGAATAACAGAGTGGGAAGGGATCTTGGAGGTCATCTAGTCCAACCCCTCCCCACCCAAGCAGGAGACCCTACACCATTTCTGACAGATGGCAGCCCAGTCTCTTCTTGAAAGCCTCCAGGGATGAAGCTTCCACAACTTCTGAAGGCAACTTCTGTTCCATGGGTTGATGGTTCTCACTGTCAAAAAAATTTCTAGGTTGAATCTCTCCTTGATCAGATGTCTGGACTTCGACTCCCAGAATTCCCCAGGCAGCATGACTCTCCAAGGAGTAAAAGCTCACACATCTTGAAGCTGTCAAGGTTGAGAAATACTGGGTTAGGCTGTCACAGTTCCTTCCTTAATGCAACATGTCTCTGTGGACTGAAGCATAGCCTGCCTTCCCATCTCTCTCTCTCTGTGTGTGTGTGTGTCTCTCTCTCTCTGTCTCTCTCTATCTCTGTTTCTCCCTCTCTCTCTCCCTCTCTCTCTCCCTCCCTCTCTTCTCCCTCTCTCTTCCTCTCTCTCTCTCTCCTTCTCTTTCCCTCCCCCTCTCTCTCTCCCTCTCCCTCTCTCTTTCTCTCTCTCTTTCTCTCTCTCTTTCTCTCTCTCCCTCCCCCTCTCTCTCCTTCTCTTTCACTCCCCC